CAGTCGGCGCTCGCTGACGGCACTGCCGAGCGCCCGGCACGGCCCGGGGCGGGGCACGGCCTCACCGGGCGGTGCTTCACTCCCAGCGACTGCCGGGACGGCGACATATCCCATCACGGCTGAGCCGCAGGGAGCGCGGGCACGGCAATGAAGATACTTACGGGTTCCCTTGCCCCGCCCTGGGGCCGGTTCCTGCCGAATCACCCTCCCCTCCCCGGCAGCTCCTGCGTGAGCCGCACGGTCCCACCGAGAACTAGCTCTTGGTGTATCCAGGGTGCCTTCGAATCGCCTTCCTGAAGCGAAAGCAGCGGTGCAGACCTGACGGGGAACAGCACTACAGAGAGGCATCGGTGCATCACCGCGTGGATCTGCTGGAGACGCTGAGTTGCAAGCCGAGCACATGGAAATCGTCCCAAAATCTCCAGCCGAGTCTAACTCCCCCTGCTCCGTGTGTCAGGGGCCGGAGCAGGGTGGTGCCGGCAGCTCCTGCAGCCCTTTCCACACATAAAGGAGTGCCAAAGACACACCACTGTGCTGTGCTGCCCTGCACCAAGCATTCCCTTTCCTCCTTCGCTTTCCCCTGCTATCGCTCTGGCAGCAGGTTTTGTCTTTTTTAAAATCCCAAGTGCCATACCCGTGTGAGATTACTGAGCCGGTTACCCTATGAGAAATACTGTTGTTGAACCAAAGTTATTCACTGTTGATATTTGTTTGATTGGTTGTTGAAGTTTTTTTGGTGCTTTCTCCCTGCCTTACCCCTGGTTACTTTTCCCCTACATTTTATCCCCTTCGCGTCAGGTAATGCCTCCACTGCTCCCCGAAATGGCGCCCGTGGCTGTGTACAAACAAGGCTGGACTTAGTGCTGCCGGGAGACAAAAACCCCTAATGACAACGAGCCAACAGGAAAATAAAGGACCAAAAGGACATATCCCGGCAAGCTAAGAAGGAAGACCATCTTCCTACACCATCTGAGCCTGCTTAAAAGGTATCGCCATGACCCAACTGGAAAAGAGTGACCCCCCTGGACAACGAGGCGGAGGAGCAGTTTTCCTAGGGTCTCCCGTGAGGAAGGAAGGAAGGCTCAGTTCGGGGCTAGTGACAAAGCTGCACGAATCCTCTGCCTTCGTCCAGGGGGAGCAGTGCTGGCGTGTGCAACCCCTCGGGCCCCACCCCAGAGCTGTCTTTTTAATAAGGGCCTTTTAAAAGGAGCAGCTCTCCTGGCCTGTGTTATATATGAGCGGCCAACTTGATTAATAAGAAGAATTTATTAAAATATAAAATCATAAAAAGCCACAAGCAAAATTCAGTTCGATGCTGTGGCTTGCTAGCACCGCTTCACCATGCTTTACAAACTGCAACTGTCTCAGGGTGCTTTTTATATGTTTTCAGGCTCTTCGGGGGTCTCTTGGAATATGCTTCTTGCAGACAAATATTCATGTTGTTTTGGGTGTATATGTTGTAATCTTGTCGGGTTTCTTGGAAATACACTTCTTGCAGATGAATATTCATAAGTTATAATCAGACGGAGGTTTCTTGGAAATATGCTTCTTGCAGACAAATATTCATGTTGGCCTTACTGCATATCGCCATAATCTCATCAGAGAAGGTTTCCTGGAAATATGCTAGGATTCTTATCAGACAAGATTATAACTTTAGCGTGAATTTATTTATGCTATGTATTACACCTGCAACCTGACACTGAAATCTGCTTGAGAAGCAGTCACTGCTGCCCCTTTGTACAAGAGGGCACAGTCAGGTTTGTGGCCTCATCACCCCACAGCTTCTGCCTCACCTGCAGGTGGCTGGGACTGGTGCTCACCCACACAGAAGGGCTTTCTCTGTGCTAAACTTAATTTACTCAAGGGTATAATTTATTTGAACTGTTTCTTTCAAATAAAATAAGCCCCTCAAAGGCTGCTACTACTTTGTCAATTTCAGACATCTCCATGTCCACCTGCCCTCATTTTGCTTTGGTCTGCGTGCAACTGCAGAATGTGACAAAATGGCATTTACAAAAAGAACAAGTAAACA